TTAACTGAAAACCAATGTCAGAGTGTCACCCTCTGTTTCCAAAGAGTTTTCTGCAAGCAAGGGGCCACCGGGGTCCCAGAGGAGCGGTGGCCAACGAAGACCTCCTTTGGGACCCGTGTAAACGTACCTGCATTTTAACTAACTGTTTAAACAGCCATTTCGTGAGCTGCAGATGTGCACAAGCCATTTGTTGAAACACCTTCAAGCATTTGGACGCTTCACCTTTCCGTTGAGCCACTCTTTGCCTCGGGGAATAGATGTAACTGCAAAGCCATTATCTAAGTGTGTGCCGCTGTGTCGTCCCACTTGGGTGCACAGTGTGATCCCCCGCAAGGTGGCGCTGAGGCCATTCCGGATTGCCACCTTACTGAATTTGCGTTTCCTGCGCGCTTTGGTACTGGAATCACACGTTTCACCCAATGAATTTCCTGACGTGTATGCTGCCGAGCTACGGAGAACGAACCCCTGCCGAGTTTTCTAACCCAACCCCTCCACCCCCCTCTAATTAGGGTAACAGAGGGAAATGGTACTCCACACACTTGTATGTCGGTGCCTTTCCCTCTGTTGTCCCTGTTCTAGTCTACTCTACCCGGGCGGCTTAAGACTAAAGTCCCGCGTAATCAATAACTCTAGAGTGCTAGGTATTCAAACACACACACACACAAACGGACACACACACATGTACATACATCCCCTCCATGCCCCCCCACTTTCTTTCTTACGTTTTTCGTCGTTTCTTGGGCTTTCTTTCAGGCTTTTTAGGTGGTTCTTGAGGCTCGTTCCCCTACCCCAGTCAAGGGCTAAGTAGTCACTTTTTTGCTACCCCTATCTTTCTCTTGCCCTTTTAGCGCTGCTCTTTCTGCTTTTGTTTCTCTCGTTTCTAAGGCTTTTTAGGTGCCTATTCAGGTTTTGCACGAGAGCGCCGCAAAGCGGCCAGGTGTGTGTGTCACCCTCTGTTTCTAAGAGTTTTCTGCAAGCAGGGGGCCACCGGGGTCCCAGAGGAGCGGTGGCCAACGAAGACCTCCTCTGGGACCCGTGTAAACGTACCTGCATTTTTAATAACTGTTTAAACCGCCTTTTCGTGAGCTGCAGATGTGCACAAACCATTTGTTGAAACACCTTCAAGTATTTGGACGCTTCAACTTTCCGTTGAGCCACTCTTTTTCCTCGGGGAATAGATGTAACTGCAAACCCATTATCTAAGTGTGTCAGTCTATGAACTGGGCCTGTTCTGTGGTTCGCTTGTGGGATGTAGGTGAAGAATATTGGGGGGATGATTGGATCCTGCAAAGCCGAGGAACTTGGGAAGTAAGAATTTGTTTGTGATGTCAAGCTTGACAACTTTCAACATAGGATTAGCTATGTTTGGCTACGTGGTGTCAACCGATTGGCGATGTTTGTCAACTCTCAACATAAGAAGCCCGGGCCTTAGAAGACAACTGTGCGCAACTCGTCATAATTCAGTCAAGCTACAGGGGCAAGAGGTTGTTGAAGGTGATGTCGATCTCCTAGGAGGCTCGGGCACTTGTGCCCCCCCCCAAAAAACAGCTCATATGCTGTCATATGCTCTCAACTGCAGTCCATCACAAATAGGTCAAAGATCCGCCTGTCCACCTCACCTGACCTTAGGCTGCCGAATGGAGACCCATAAGTAATCCGTTGAGGACCCGACAAGAAGGTGCTGGTAGGTGATGTTCTGGTCCATTGGACGGTGATGTCATGTTACCGACAACACCTGCGGTCATAGGGACTACTTTCTTGCACCCAACAAGAAATAACAAGAAACATGCCGGGCCGATACCTTTTGCGCACACTTGGAGGATTTCAACGCCAATTCTCAAGAAAGTTCTTATAGAAAAAACCGTTTCGCGGACTCGATTTTTTTGCGGGCAACCAAATTCCGCAAACAACCAGGAGATTGGAGCTTGCCGAGATTGGGCTCAATGGTTTAGCAGCCACCTTTAGGAACACATACCAAATTGAGAATCATTAGAACATACATTGAGTATCCTTGAGTCTTCAAATGATCTCCAAGCTATATCCTCAAAATGTCTCAAGAAATTGGGTCATGACATGCAGCCCATGTTTTAAAAGTCGATACGGTCGACTCCAAGCAATCCGGAACACATCACGAATGGGAATGCTTGTCGGCATGACGCCAATCCTATTGGAAGGCGTTCAAACAGGTTCAAACGGCCTTCAAACCGTCCACGTGATGTCGGAGTACTGTATATCCCCTTTTCCACCTGCATGGAAACAGCTTCACCCTACAGTGAAGCTTCAAGGAGGTCTTTGCAGCGACACTTCAGGACGGGCACACGCGCATTGGTCACCAAATCGGTGACATAAATACCTCGGTGACAGGCAAACCTCGTGGTCTGACTACAACCTAGGCCCAAACCGCCCAAAGCATCAACAGCATGGTGACTCAAATTCTAAACTATAGCTGTCGGGGGTTGGGGAACTCCTCCAGTCGCTTGGCTCCGGCCTGGCTCCCTGTTTTTTGGAGGGGGAAGAACTGGAGACCCCCTATGCTCCCCGGACCATCGCTCCGAGTTCCGGCTCGCAAAAGCTGGTCAAATCCCTGGTTGGTTTGTTGCTCGATCATTCACGGTACTGCGGTGGAAACAGCGGAGGATGGGCGCGTGGGATCCTAACCAAAAGGGCCGTGGAATCCTTTCGTATCTTTGAGTTGTATAGGGATTGGAGATGATTGGAGGGTAGGGGTGTTTTCGGGTGTGCCCATGGGGCCCATGATCCACTCACTGGATGGAACGATGCAACCGATATGGCATCCCTTTCTGGTTTGCTCAAGTGTGCAGAGGACAGCACGTGAAAAGGAGACCTGTATCCAAAGGCGCTCAGATTGATGTTTCTTTTGACCATGATGTTCGTATATGACTTGTTTCAGTCGGTCATCCTGCACCAAGACAGAACCATGAAAAACATGCTTTTCATATATGAAAAGTGTCGCAGGAGGCGTTGTAGAACCATTCAAAAATTTATGTTTCATCCAACAGATAGCTTCAAGATAAGGGTAGTTGTGACTTCTTGGGCACTTTCCCTTTTGAGTACTTAGTCTGCAAACAAATTCCTTGTTTACTGTTTCTCCTCTGCTTTTTGGTGACTTTCGAGTGGGATCGGGTACAGCAAGATGTGTTCGGGGTATGATCTGGAATCTGGGTGAACATAGCTTCTGGATTCAGGATGAAATAAACGATTGAGGTCAGTCTCGTGGTTTACATCTGTTGGAGCCAATTCTTCAATCCAATCATTTGGGGCTCCGTGTCCAGCTCGTGCATCCACGTGATACTCATCAACACCCCAAAAAGAGGCCTAAAGGCCCGCACTCGTCACTCATATATTACATACCTGGAACTCAATTTGAACCCTGTTTTCATAGGAAAAGACCAGGGGTGGTTGGTGATCCAAAATAAGAGATCATTCAGGTTCTAGGTTTAAAAAAAAAAAAAACAATATATTAATTGTATTCACCATGGCGTGGTTCTTTGGCGCTCCACTTGACTTGGATGCAACATCGTCTCGTCGTTACTTGACTCATCTACCGCCTTCGATGGATGAGCATAGATAGGCATAGTTGCCAACAGCACATCAAAGTCGTATCCAAGGGTGCAGGCCATCGCTACTACTACTACTACTCCTCCTCCTGCTACTACTCGGGTGGAGGCCATCGCTACTAGTAGCAAGAAGCTACTAGGGTGGAGGCCATAGAGTGTTTGTGAGACTCGTTCACACAACACAGGTCCCAACTCGCTCGTTTCACAACCCGTGGAGCCGAACCGATTTGCTCGCGACAAATGGGACGACACGTCGATGGGTGACTGAGGTGAAAGATGAGCAACTGCCTCGGCCTCTGCATTGCTCCCAATGCAACTTCCCGGAAAAACCAGGCAGTGATCAAGTACAGCAAGTTTAACAAAACAACATGTCTGCCAAGGAACCCCATTCCTCCTCCATCTCCACCAGCTTCTTCCCCATGAGATCCACGCAAAAAGCAGCCGCTTGCTTCGAGCTGCTTCCTGGCTCCAATCCCCGGAAAGTTCCGCAAGCTGCTTCGATCTCCGCAGATTGGTCGGCCAGCACTCTTTCGGGTGGAGAAGTAGCGCAGTACTATGCGCAGTCTCGCTCCCCCCAAAACCACCCCAACTGATGGGCATATATTATATTCCAGTCCCATGGAGTGTCTGGGAACAAGTAGGTGCCAGGAATCCGTTGCTGGTGTGACACGTTGATGCCTAACAGGTCAAACGAATCCTGTGTCCAGTCTGGAAGCCCAAACCAGTCCGTGACATGGAGTGTCTGCGGCTGGTTGGTTGTCTGAGTGTTTCTTGGGGGCCGAGCGTCGCAACTCATGGCCTTCGGGTAAGACCACAACCACATCGACGTCCTCAGTGCGAAGACGAAAAAGGTGAAGGACTCGAGCAGGATTAGGTGGAACATCAAGTGATGTAGAGACAACTATATAGATCCCCCCAAAAAATGAAACATGATGAATAGCTCGGCCCTCAGTCTCCAATTTTGCCAGGTCCACTATAGAGAGAGGGGGGCCCCAAAAAAACCCACAGCTTCCCGAGCATCCACCGAAAAGAACCCCCCCAAAAAGATCGGACACGGAGGTGGGGGAAGGACAGGGAAGGCACACGGCCACCGTATGTCTCCGTAGCCCACCGGGCCCACCGGGTTAAGTGGACTGGTTCAGAGTATGTCAGAGTATGTTTGGCTCCAGAAATCGGTCCAATTCAGGTTCCATGTTCAACTGCCTCAATGTATAGCTTCTGAATCTTTTGGTAGCTCACGGTGATTCGCCAGTGGGAAGGGTGCCGTTCTGAAAACGCATGGAATGTCTCTGAACAGGGGAAAACTTGTGCAGGAGGAGCGTCACCTTTTCGGCATAAGCACATGGTCGACGAAAACAAACTGCGCCCTGTGCTATGCCATTTCACTTCTTAGTAGGTGACCAGATCGAAACCAAGCAAAACAACTGGCATGGGGTATCGGGTTCCATGGTGGTTCTCTGCTGAGCCATATATATAATATATGCATGTTAAACCATATTTATACAATAAGCTATCTGCCGTATGCTATGCTGCTATACAACTATAACAACGACAACCCCACCAACCCCAGCCACTACAACCTTCTCCCCTGTCTCAGTGACGCTGGAGGAGGTCTCAAATCCATTCACTGCGCTGCCAAAGAATTCGAAGCGCGCATCAGGTCCAAAGGTGCCCTCCACGGCTATCTCCAAGCGATGCCTTTTGGATGGGATATCGGGGCCCAGGGATGACGATGCTGGATCGAGACGTTCACCAGAGTGCCGGGATCCAGAGATCGCGAAAAGGAACAAGGAAAAATGAGGAGCCTTGGCTTTTGGAATATGCGAGAGAGAATTCATTGCTCATTCCAAGCGATGCCTTGGGACCGAGGCTGCTTTGGGCTGCGTTTTGGACTGAGGAATGCCCTCTGAAAATATTCATGATGACATGAACTTTCATGGGGGGGGGGCCTGGTGGAGAAAGATTGAATACGAGTGGTAAACTTTGGATTTTTGGAGCACTGGCAGTATGGCATGATCTCAGTAAGGGAACAAATTATGCCCGAAAGCTGGAGTGAATGGTTCAGGACCTATACTCATTCAATTCTCAGTCAATCAATCTGTGGATCAATGGCAGGCGCCGGGCGAAAGGTATGAAAAGCGACGCAAGCGCGTGAGAAATTGAAATGAAACGACCATGTCGGGCCTCATGTCCTGACATGCCCACAAAGTATGTGCCAGGAATCCGTTGCGGGCCAAACAGGTCAAACGAATCAACTTCTTCGGGTGTCCAGCCTGGAAGCCCAAGCCAGTCCACGGGTGACCCCAAAAAAGGCCAAACAGGTCAAACACAAAACATCGAACACACAACACACACACACACACATCATGCGTGGCCGGAGTACCCGAAAATCCGGTGCCAACCAATACCGGTCCATCTCTGACTCACAGGCCGACTCACAGGCCTCCGAAGCCGCTCGTTCGAACGCCAAGCGGCTTGGCTATCTCCATGCGCTCGCGACAAGCCAGGTCCGGCGCCAAAGCAATGGCTAAGCAATCCAGGAAGTCCTCACCCTGCAACTCCTCACAACAGCTGGCTTTGCTTTTCGTCTTCCTCTTCCAGCTTCGTGGCATCACCCTTTTTTTTGGCTCCACACCGCTCACATTACGTGGGCTCGGGCGAAGCAAAACTCACCGTGTCGTGGGTGTGTACTTTCTGCCTCTGACAGACTGCCTAAATGGTGGTGGTCCAGTCCGAACTGGGAAGGAACCCCCTACTTGAGCTGCACCAGTCCACCATCAGAAAAAAAAAGGTGCAACTTGGTCAACCAACCAAATGAATGTTGTACTATGTTTGTGCCTTCGAAGCTACAGCTTCCCACGTTACCATCTTAAAAACAGCGCCAGCCGCCAGCCGCGGTGTTTTCACACGATGGTAACGTGGGATCGATCCAGGGGGCTCCGGTGGGTGGGATTCAGAGGTCGCGGTGAAACAACGATCATTCCCAGATGGGAATTGAGTATCGGATTTAGCCTGGTTTTTACAGGTTTCCACAGTGAAGAAGTGCTCTATGAAGAACCTCGAAGTGGGATTCTAAGACATATTCAAGTGGTTGTGTATTTAAATAGGGGACCCTCAAGCAACGAGTTTGATTTGAGTTTCTTTCTTCCAGGGGGGTCTTTTGAAGATCTCCATATTTTAACACACACAAATAGGGACCCATTGATAGTTGCCACCCAAACGGATACAAACTCGATCTATGCAATGAACCCAATATATATATATATATATTGTTTTTCTTTCAGGCACTGTGCAACTGACACAAATGTTGTCACTTGAACTTGAAGGCATGACTTGTTCATTGTGCACAGCAAATATAATAGACGACCTGGAGTGATCTATTTCCTCTACAAGCTAGATCAATCATCATAATCACTTTTTAGGGATCCACATACCCTATCAAAAGGGACTTGGAACCTCCCCCAAAAAAGTACAAGTGCTTTTTCCACACATTACCGTACCTCAAAGGGTGCCAGTGGATCCATAAGGGAATTGAACTGCTTGTGCATTTCAATAGGGGGACCAACATCATCCATCAGATGGTAAGCTTTAAATCATCATCATAAGCACTGCTATTGTCACTGACAAACCATCCACCAGAGCAATTCTCCAGAGCGGTGGATTCGTGATGCCCAACAGTGCAGAAGGTTTGGTCCCCCCCGAATCGGGATCATCATCCCAGTGACAAGCTGTATGATGGTGAATCGGGTGCTTAAACCAAAAAAAGACTCATACACGTCCGAAGACCACCTTGGAGAATCCGTCGACCGAACCCCACCTGGAGCGAGACCTCCGGGACCTCCAGACATTGGAAACCAGCTAGGGCAGCTTCCACTCGCACCTCGAACGGTCGAGGCCGGAGGACACGGAGGGACTGGACACGGACGTCATTTTTTGGGGCGAAAAACACCGAGAGGAGGGGGAGAAGACATGTAAAACATATCAAGGATCATTTACCCTGCCCGGAAAACGCATGACGTCCTATGGAATCTGACGGAGACCAAAGGCCCCGCTGTAGGAATCTTTTCCACCAAACAGTGGTTTTCAGGGTCCATGGGATCGTCTTCAAGGGGGGTACGTCCATGAGATGTTTTTTCAGGGGAGTCATTCTTAGAATGGGTATTGCAGGCAACTGGTACAGGAACACGATCTTCCAAAGTCACCTCACCTTTTCACATTGTCCGCCTACTCAACGTCCGGGGATACCGGGGATGAGCCACTTCTCCATGGTTACAAGTTGCTGTCGTGGAAATTGCCAAATTTGGTCCCTACCCTTAGCCACATGCTAGCAATCTCTATGCGAGACACATCCAACCAACAATTCTGGGTGATTTAAGCTAATCCACGACCCTGAAATCAGCCCCTCCAAGTAAGTCCTGTTGACAAAGGTATAAAAGGTATTCCCTCTTTTTGGGCTATTGAGTTTGTTTCATATCACCCAAGAAGAACAATGGACAACACAACCATTTCCATTAGGAGTTTGCAAATTCAGTTCGATGGGTAAAAACATCATCAACATTCCACCTATTGACGTGTAGGAAAACATTGATTCTTGGATTTGGTGCCAAGGGCAATGAAGCAGCAGAAAGGACCAGTGACCAGTTACTAGTTGATACCTACGCACGGGTTCATGGTTGCATCCTTCTTTACCGGGACCTCCGTCGCCTTCTCGGCTAAAAACGGGCCGCAGGCGACGAGCCCAAGTTTCCACGTCCGCCGAGGAGCTGAGGTGCAGGGAGGAAGGCGTTTCTTCTTCAGAATACGGCTCAAAGTTTGTCCCACTTCGGATTTCAAATTGTCCTCAACAGGGTGAACTGGCGGCCAGGCCCCGAGACGAAGTCGCACCTCGTGCACCCAGACTATGAACTATAGCCGTGGATCCATTGGATCTAAACGCCCATGGGCAAGGCCCCCCTATCGAACACCACTTCGAATTGTTCCATCTCCCATGTCAACTTCCCATGCCACTCGCGGTTCATGTTGGCCAGCCGTTCAGCCCTTCAATCGAACTTGCCAGCAATACTCTGAGCCTGCAATGGTCTGTATTAATATGTCTATATATAGTTTCTGGACCCCCTTTTTTGCAGGACTCCCACCACTAGTTCACAGGATGGCGCATCTGGATGAAACTACCTCTCTGGATGCGCATCTAGACGTCTCTGAGCACGTCTCATCGGCGTCTCTGTTTCTCCACACCTGGTAGGCACAACAGAAGAGGATATAACCTTGGATGTGCTGTGCTCTTCAGGAAACCGGCACAAACATATCAAAGGACATCGTGCCACCAAAGGGTTTCCCAGAATCTCAAGGAGGATTCCCAGTTTGGAGGGATGATTCCCAGTTTGGGGGGATGGACCCAGCTTCGGGAAACGCCCAAAGTCGCACCCCAAAACGCTGCTAAACCGCTGCCATGTCACCCTCGATGATGCGCAGCGCAGCGAGTCCAGGGTCGCCCCCGTCGTCCGTGGTCGGGAGCCGGTAGGGCATGTCAGCGATGCGGTTCAGAATCCTCAAACCCAAGGCCCAGCGCCGGTTGAAGGACCCGGGTCGACTATCCATGACTATCCCATGACTAGGTCAGGTTCCCGGGTCGTTCAGGTCACAGTCCACCTCTCTGGGCGGTCGGTCTGGTCGACCGCTTTGACAGATGGCGTGATGAAATTGATGTGACCAAAGCAGACCCAAGTTGTTCCCCTCAACCTGAGTTCATCTACCAGGATCTCGCCAATGACAAAGTGAAATAACCAATGAATAGACTCAGAACCTTACCCCAGGCTGGCTTGGGAAAACAAAGCATGACGACCCAAGCTTGATTTCATTCAATGACCAAATGTTTTCCAATGTACTTTAAAGCGATCTTGGATCAGCAAAAACAGTGTGTTTTTACAGATTGACCTCGTCAACCGCTTTGGACAACAAAACACAAACCAATTTCGTAGGGTGAGTGTGACTGTGTGTTTGTGTGGATGGTTTGTGGCTTCTGATATCGACCTTGTCACTGGATGTTGTTGATTTTTAAGACAGAACAGTTAAAACAAACTGAACATACCTTTTACCAATGAAACTCCGCTGTACCATGGCAACGGCTTTTTCGATGTTCATCTAGTCGCAGGTTCGTGCCAGGTGTCTGCAGCACCAGAAGTGCCGAGCCCACGGTAAACCAGGCACGAAGTTGCCAAATCACTAGGCTCAACTCCTCAGAAATCCGGAGCCTTCTGGGAGAGTCTTGGGCATTCCTTGGAAGTGTTAAAAGGGGTTTTCAGATGGGGAGGTGCAGGAGAAAGGGGGCAATGCACAGCCTCACCCTGTGGGGAAGACTGGGTACTCCTTGAAACCCCAAGGCGCTGTTGCACTGTTGCACTTTTTCTGGAGCTGTCTCAAGAGCTCCGGCTCTTCAGTCGAAAACGTGTCAGAAAGATTTGCTAGGTATAGGGTATATACCCTAGGGCTCCAACCACATCCTCAGGTTCGGTGGTTAGACCCCCAAAACCCACACCCAACCACCTTCGAAACGGAGGTGGGCCAGGAGCCCTATAGGGATATATAGAATATTGCCAGTCCCCGGGAGTCACAGTGTTTATGCAGCAATGCATGCTCTTCCCACTGGATGACTGGGAGGTCTTTCCAGCGAGGTCTTTGACGTTCGACGTCTTAGACCGTGTGGAGTTGCGCTTAGACCCAGGCCCGATCTGGGACACGACTCGCTTAGACCGGGAGATTGTCCGGTAGATCACTTGCTTAGACGAAAGGTGCCATCCGAGCTCCGGCCGCAGGGCCGGACAAGATGTACCCAGCATGTGTCCAGGGTACCTACCTTATATGCCAAGGATGTACCGTTGAAAAACGGTCGGAGCGATCGAAGAGTGATTGTACTTCACAGGACTGGCAACTTGGTCATGACTATCAGCCCATCGTGCCACGGGGTAGATGGCAGTATTGTGAAATATTGTGAAGGTGTCCAACTTCCAATCGAACTGCTCACATCCCATAAGCTCACATCCCATATTGTGGGTCCCATAGGACCGTAGTCCGGCCAAAAAAGATCAAAACTGGTCCTTGCAAAATCACTTTGTTACTCGGTCACCCACTGCAGATTTGGGTTCCGGGACATGACGATGAGGATCCGGGACGAGACATGCAGCCGTGATGAAAAAGAGCATCCAAGTGGTTGCCGAGCTGTTGGGGGTGCTCCTCGAATCCTCGAATCCTTCGGCAAAGAACTGGATGGTGTCTCCGCAAAAGCTCCTTTCTGAGCAGGACTTGCACCCCTTCCAGTTGATGGTTTCTTTGCTTGTCCATCCCACTGCCACTCTCCGACAAGTCTCGCATAGCAGTTCAGAGAGGTCTCGGGCGTGCAAGTTCCTGACCTGAAACGAAGGAGGCTTCTCCACTGCATCCGATGTTGTTTCGCTTCCTAAAGCGTGCAGGGCTTAGGGATACATCTCGCGGGGATACAACAAACTGCAGGGGTTTTCAGTCTGAAAGCTTCAGCCGGGGCTTCGTTTGTAGGAAATTAGTGACTGTTGGATGGGTGCATCTTGCTGGATTCCTTGCACTGATTGGAACTCTAAGGCACTCCGGAGACACATTTCTTTCCTGTATATGAGAAAAACACATAATTGTCTTGAAAGAACACTTTTCAAGTCTCCCTGTTGAGAATATACCTGTCATGCTTTCTGAACCGAATGCTAGGAGCCCTAACATGTCTCCAGAATGGTTTTCTTATTGAGGATGACCCAATCCCAACATATCAAGCGTACCCAATCCTGTTGGGTCTGTTGCTGGTTCAATGCCCCTTGGGCTTCAGGTGTTCAAGATTCTTGTCATTCTTGTGACCATTCGACCGAACCATGGATGAACCCATGAACCGCAGAGTCTGTGAGGCAATTCCACCGACCAGTTGAAAGAACATTCAGCAATTTCTGGTGGGGAAAGTAGATGTTCAGCCACCCAGGCACTGGACCTCAACTTCCATCCCCTTCAGAACAAGTCAGGCACTAGGCCGAGCTTCCTCTCACCTTGAGAAACCGACCAAATAGATCTGGTGGTTAAACCACCGATAGGTCTAGCGGGGCCGAAGGGTCCTCTTCGGGTGGTGAAATCCGACACCAGCCACCATCGGAGCAAGACGCCACTCGCTTGAGTTGCTTCAGCCTTCCATCCAGAGAAGGCAAGTCTTCCCATGGATCGTGCCAAATGCCCTTGCCTCGTCTCATCGAGCGTGAAACCACGGCTGTTCTAAGAGGCTCGTCAACACCCAAGAGGCCCAAGAGCGGATGAAAAATGATGAAACAACATCACATCAACAACTCTAAGTGGTTTGGAGGTGCAAGTTCTGAACCACTTGGCCATCTTCGGTGTTCTGAACATAACACAATTTGGTAACCGCCCTAGGGCAGTTTGTTCTTCTTTTTCTCTGACCAAGCGCCTCAGATCCCGCTGATTGGCACTGATTGGGGTGGATGTATTGTTAGTTTTCCCCTGCTTGGAAATCCACTCAACAAGTGTCATGCTGCCATGTTTGCTTGGATGTTTGCCAGCCGTTGACCATCCATGAGACCAACTCACTGACCGGCCTGGTGGTATGGAGAACAACATGCTGGGCAAAATATGGACATTGCTATGTCGGTTTTGTTCAATATTCCAAGAATTCGCTAATTCAAGAAAAACCACATAAGGCGTACGTGTTTTTCAAAGGTCAAGTGCATCTACACGCTACGCTACTGGGGTGCCTGTGAAGCATACACAGGGAATTGTGTACATGTTTGGCAAAAACGCTACCTTTCGACGAGCATATCACATGGATGCGGAGATGCAAAGGAAAATTGTCAAAGCGGTCTTCCATGCGCTCGTTTTCCTTTTCCACCGAAGAAAGGCCGGAGTCACTTCGGACTCGACTCTCCCACACGGGTAAGGGATCAAAAAGAAAATAAACATATTTAAAAAATATTCAACGGGGATCAAACAGATAAAAAGGGAATCAAAAAACATATTCTAGCCCACTGAGGATGGTTGGGGTTGAGCATCGGCTCAAAAGCCTTCAACAGAAACACATCGGACCAGGCAAACACAAAAGAACGAAAGGATAGAAATGTTGGACATTGCTGAGGGGTGCGCTATATCAACCACCTCTGTGGCTTTGTCACAGCTTTTATAGTATGGAAGCTATAACTACTTGGTTCACGACTGATTCGGGGCCGTGAGGAATTTGAGCATTTGGAGTGTAGCAAATGTGACGTGACTGAGGTAAAACTGCCATTTTCTGATTTCCACATGTAAAAATGACATTGCGTGAAATTGAGAAAACTACTTCGGTTTTGCACCAGAGCCGGCGACTGCGAAATCTTTTTCTTCCTTCAGTTGCGACCACGGCTCTGAAAGATCTTCACCAACTCAGACAGAAAGCCTTGTGCTGTCACATTGCCCACGGACTTCCGTCACATGAATTGTTCCACGAAAAGTGGCATGGCCGGATGCAATCTGCTAGCCTCAGCCTTGCCCAGCTTCCGAGGAAAGGACTGGGAAACGAATTTCTTTAGAGCTTGCCAACATCTATCTAACTTCTGGGTGCCAGCCATACATGAGCCTGTCTGGCCTTTCTTTTTTCTGTCCTTGCGAACGAACTCTTTTCTTTGATGGCAAACTTCCACATGTCTCAAGCCCAAGCGCCGAGCCTCCGTGCGCCAGGCACTATTGCCGTCTGCGAACACAGTGGATTTTTTTTTCACCACGCAGTCAAGCAATTTGCTAAGTCTGACCTCCAGCAGAGACTCTGTAGGCGGCCGGACTCCCACGGGAAGAACCTCAGCAACCACAGTATGGAAGTGGTCAGACATGCTAGACGTGACATGGTGCACAGACACCCACAAGATCTGTGATAAATACATCATTGCGAAGAAAAAACTAAAGAATGCAAACAAGTCGAGGCACACGAGGATCGCTCAGATGGAGGAGAGTGCTCCCATTCCGTTCCATGGCCCCCAGCACTTGCAGCGTGACGACAAAGGCTTTGGCATCACGTTCGCCCTGTTGGCGGCGTCGACTTTGAATTTCATCTATCTGGGCGCGAAAGGCTGTACATTTCTTGGAGATGTAGAACTTCCCAAAAGCCGTGGCGTCGACTTCGATGTCACCACGTAGGCGAACTTCACTTGCCCATTGACGACCAGCATGGGCTTCTGCTTCTCTCATGATGGCAAGGAAATGCAAGGCTTGCTCCTTGCAACAGCCACAATGAGCCACCAGGTCCGTCACTTTGCATTGCACTTGCAAATCCACCGTGATGTACAAATGCAAGAGCCTCACCAACAACATGGCAGATATCTTCAAACCATGAAACAGAGACTGGGAGAGGTAGCCCATACGTCGGCCACATTTGCAACGCCAATGAGGTCCTTCTGGATTACAACTTCGAAAGTCAAGAATCTGGACTACTTGCTTCCTAAAGCAAATAGTTGGTGAGCTACATGTACCCACATAGCGGCTGGTTCGCTTTTTTCATGAGGTTTCAACAGTGGTTCCGGAGTTCAAAAACAAAAACAATGTTTTTTCTACAGGTCCTTTGTGGTCAGACTCGAAGACTTCGTAGAGCTTCTTCTGCTCACAAGCATCGCAAGTGCGAGGCCTGTGAATGAATTTGTGCTGCAGCAACCATTGTACAGACGAGGCTTCCGAGGTCAAAGCCCCTTGCAGCAAATCATGTTGCGACTTTTGACGACGAATCTCTGCAGGGGAGGCGTGACGAACACGGGTGCCACTGTATAGCTCTTGCTGCTTCAAGCGGTAAGTCTTCCGGTTGTCCTGGGGACTCTTGCGATTGTTGGATTCCTGTCGAAGAACCCGATGCTTCAATCCATGTCTTTGCTTCAACTGCTTCAACTGGCTTTGCAGCTCTTGGATTCTCTGGGCTGCGGGGTGCTTGCATGTATCCACACGGTGGCCAGTTTCATGGCAAACACAGCAGCGGTGCAGCTGTTTACCCTGACATCTACTTGCAGGGCGCTTCATTGTTGGGGTAGGATCTGCGCCAAAAATGGCTAGAGTGAAAATGGCGTGAGAAAAAATTGCGAGGCTCAAACGTGTCTTGACACAGTGATTGTGATAACATATTCTTTTCAGCAACCGTGAACGAAAATATATGTGAGTTTGCTTCCATGACATGAGAAACAAAAAACACCATCCATCGAGCACTGCAGGCCCTGTGTTTCAACGCGGGTTGCGTAGCTGCCAGGACACATCTTGCCTAATCTGTGCTTGCTCTCTGAGGATTGCCTTCGGGAACTTTTCTCGTTCCTGAGAAGATGGCATCCTGTTATACCAACATTCCGGCTTTCCATCTGAGGACCTACTCTTAAAGAAAGTGCATCTCATGAGAATGGAACCCCACAAACGACTTTGCGAATGCCTGTGCAAGTGTGGGTACAAAACTGCTCTGTGCCGAGGACAACGTCCGTATTTACAAGGTCTCGCCCGCACAACTGCAACAGAGGATGCAGCTGCGTCGTCAAAGTCAGAAATGGCATCCTCCTCAGTTTCCACCACCATGCCAGCAGCCACCGGGACAGGATGCGGGGCACTGGGTGTGAGAAGATCTGCTATATACTCATTTGTGGCTTCTACTTCAGCAGCACGCCATTGGTCCAAAGACTCACAAGTTGCAGTCTCCGTGGGAGTCAAGAGATCTTCTATATACTGGTTGGCGGCAGCAACTTCCGAAGTATACCATTCTGCCAAGGAGTGGCAAGTAGCGAACTGTGGCTGCTCAGACGTCAATAGATCTTCGATCATGGAATTGACAGCAGCAATTTCCTTTTGCCAAAATCTTTCGACCTTTTGCCTTCTATGCGGCGGAGAGTCAAATGGAGCCGGATCGGAAAGGTCACTGCGATCACTAGGTGAATCTTCTTCCATGGCAACTTCTGAGTCCAAGTCTATGACGCTCGAGCAGCGCAACACTTGCAAAGGCCTAGTCCAACGTGGACCCTGCCTGCGGCTCATGGGCAAACATTTGCAAATGAAACCCTTTTCATTTTGCTATGCCTAGAAGTGTCAGTGGTCCCTCACACCCAAAAAAACGAATATGTCCAAGCCACAGTTCATCCTGCACATCGGACTTGCTAGCCACTCCGCTCGCACTGGTGCTTTTGCGCTGGGACTCAGTGAGACTGCTCAGCCAGAACGGATTAGCAGCACGAACCAGATCGTCTCGGCTCCAACCCCAAGAATCAGCTGTCCGCAGGAACAGACGGTGCGACAAAACACGGATGGCAGCGGCAAGCGCCGAAGATGGAAGTGGAGAGACACGTTGCAAACGCAGCCAGGCATCCTTCAATAAGACAAAGCCATCCGTGAGTTGCTGCCAGTCCAAATTTGAAGTGGCATAGACCACCTGCTGAGTCGCCAGCAAGGTCTCATCGCCACAGAAGGGCGAGGTCAGCACCTGCATGGCCGGCGTGCTTTGCATGTCGTCAATGGCAGTAAGCGAGGTCAATAGGTCCGTATATACATGTGTTTGAACAAGTCCAGAATTATATGGAAACGACGCAGAAAGCACACATATGGATGGACGAAAACACAATCTCTCCAAGAACAAGGCACAGCGTGCACTTCATCGAGAAATCCTAGCGAAGGGTTGGCCCAGTCCACCAGCAGCGGAGGGAGACGCACCGCGGCTGTGCGGAGCCATATCAGCCAGGTGAAAGCCAGGATCTGTCGATCCGTCAGCATGGCTATAGCAAAAAATAAAAGACGTGTCCAAATGTAACCTTGTCGAAAACCATCATGAGAAAAAATTGTATGCAGAAAAAAAAGCCACTAGAGCATTGATACCATGCCTGTGCACATGTCCGAAACGAATTTCGTGCCAGTTGACTTGAAAAAAAGAACCAAAACTGCGAAGTATCAAGTCAAACTAGTACTCCCCACCAGCTGCAATTGCAGCCAACGGACACCGAAGCATCAAGTCTTTGTAGGCCAACCAACAGCTGGCCAGTGGAACGGTGGACCCACGTCTGTCCGAAAAGCAATGGGCTTCAAACACCTACAATCCACCTACGACCTGTCTATGTCAACAACTACACACCATCATGAATCGGAAAATTCCCGCACGGTCGATTGATCGAAACAACATGGACAATGGTCAAACATCACCTCTCGTGACTCTTAGGGGTTAGTCTTGGCAATTGCAGCTCGCTGGCATATCAAAGCGCCAATCTAACCATGCCCTTTTAAGAACCTATACCCTAAGAATTGGGGGTATGGATATACGCATACATGTCCTAAGAATATGTGTATCGACTGCTCAAAGGTCGTGGCAGGAAAGATGTTTAAAAAACGAGACAAGCCCACCCCATCCACACCCCACACAACACACAGTAAAGAAACATGGCGTAGCATCAACATCATCTGCAAGTGTACATGAACGTCAACATCCCA